GGGAGAAGATCCTCCACAAACTCCTCTGTGGGTCTGCCCATGGCTGCAGTTTTCCTCACGAACTGCTCTGGTGTAGGCTTCCCTTCCACATGGTGCAGTCCTTCCCACAGGCTGCTTCAGTGCACACTTCCTATAGAGTCACAGCCTCTGCAGGACAACCACCTTCTCATGTGGCTCTCTGCTCCACCGTTGAACCGTTGCTCTGGCACAGCTCCTCCTCCCCCATCTCCTCTGTTATTCACCAACTTTGGTGTCTGCACAGTTGTTCTGCTCACATCCCACTCCTTTCTGCTGCAAGTTTCTTCTGCTGGTTCTTGAAGAGTTCCTGCCTCTTGGGCTGGAACTGCAGGGGAGCTTGGGCTTAAGCTGGGGCCAGACTGGCCCAGCCCCACCAGGCCGGGCCGTGCCGCCCACACAGCAGCTGCACTGGTCAGGGCCGGGGCAAGAGAGGGGGGGCCATGCACTGCACCCTTCTTAAATACCTCAATTCACAGCAGCGCTGTTTGGCTTGGCCTTGGTCAGAGGTGAGTCCGAAATTGGAGCCAGGGGAGCTTCTAGCAGCTTCTCACAGGAGCATCTCCATAGCCCTCCCCCTCTACCAAAAAAGCTAAAACCCTCACAGAAACCCAATACATTAGACTATAGGATAAAACACATTGATATAAAAATTATTAATAACTTGTACTGAAGAAAAAATGTGTTGTTTTTAAAAATAATAGGTATGGCAGGTTATAACAGAACTAAGTGTTCTGACTGCTGAATTATTCCCATACTTAAAAAGAGTTTATATAGGACATTATTTACTCACTTTTCACTCATTGAAGTCAGATTAACTTGCAAGACTAAACTTAAATCTCAATGGAGAGATTGAATCCCAGTTTTTATTATGAAGTGGCAATTATAAGGTTTGTTCTTATGACAGGGTTTATTAGATCATCCATTCAAACAAATGTTTTTAAGGGCAGAAAATCAGTTTGCCGGTATGTGTCATAGCAAAAAACGTATGAAGAAGCATGAGCTTTGGCCTCATCTTTTATGTCTGTTGGGTCAATGAGAGAGCCAGTTCAAAATGGGAAATTTATTATGTCAACATGAAATGTGCAATAGGAAGCCTTCAGGGAAGCTTGCATTGATGTAGGAAATGGTTTTAATCTCTTCCGTGTGTAGTGTTCGTCCAGCATGCTCTCCTCTCACTACTGAACTGATAATGAAATGATGTGATCATGACATTATACTATTGAGATGTCATCTTTAAGATAGGATTTTATAACTGGCAATAATTGAATGTGATACTAGAAGACATTTTAGCATTCTTCCTGAGAGTAGGGAGAGTAGTCTCTTGAGTCATATTTCAGTTGGAATGATTCAGTCCTGCTTCTCCTTAATCCTCCTGTACTTTCCATTAGAAAAACACGTTTTTCTGCTTTCTTTTCTGAGCATAGATACATAATTGCTATTGGACTGTACAAGATAAAGTTGGTTCCTGAAAGTATTTACAGCCAAAAGAATGGGTGTTAATTGAATTTTGTAATTTGTTAAATTAAAATTAAGTGCTTAATATAATGTATCTATTAAAAATAACATCTTGAAACTGCAGAAGTTTATGATTGTTTAAAAAAAAATTACTCAGTTTACCTAGACA